AATGCGCGGGATTATAATACAGATTTTCAAGCGTTTTGTCGTTTACATTTTGTCTCACGTGAGCAGCCGTCTCGGAATCTCGATTTGCATCTTCTTTTTCTTGTTCTTGCCGGTGACGAGGTAATCCCATCCTCTTTTTCGTTTTCTTCTTGTTCAATATTTTGTCCGGATTTGCGCTTTGTTCTCTTTCCTCGTCCTTCTTGTCGTAAAAAATGTAAATATTTAGGATTTCCCACGTATTGAGGAGGCGTGTTTATGTCGCGAAGTAAATGAGCAAAATGAATGGCTCCCAATATTCCAGCGGTTTTTCTTTCTCGCATCGCGTCGTTTACGAGTTCCACAAAATTCGCTCCCACCAATTCCAGACTCTTGGTCACGATACCTCGTTCGTTCCATGTAATCCTGTCGGGCACAGCTGCTTCGATCAGATGATTCAAAAGCATTCGCGCTTTGAGTCGGTAAGTTTTCGGAATTGTATCTATTATCTTTGTTATAGTTTTTCGTTTTCGAGAGCGTGACGCGCTTTTGCTTCCGCTGCTGCTGCTGCTGATGGTGAACGAAGTATCTAAAAACATTTTTCTTGTTTCTCGGTGTCGACTGATGAAGTCGCTGCTAATAGTTATTATGACGCAAGGGAGTCGAAAAATGTTTTGGTAAATCGCGTGCGGATGAGGAAAAAGATGTAGTAGGCAGTGGTGCTGAAGCGTCCATTTCTTCTAGCATTTCTTCTTCCGCATCGTAAAATCTCTCATTTCTTCATCCTCTCCTTTTCTCTCCTCCTCCTCTTCGGCCTCTGTCACAGCGGTTGTTTCCGCCACGGATGGATCTTCTTCTTTGCGAGATCGTCTTCTCGCTTTTCGGATAAAATACAAATATCGACGAAGTACCTCGCTGTACAATTTCCTCTCTCACCCTCATCGACGGGGAACGGAGAATCGAGAATTCGTCTCATCTCCGCGTCGAGGCGCGAAAGCACGGTTCCGGGAGTGCGAGTAGTGGTGTTAGCAGCGAACGTATGTTCCTCTCCTTTTCCGCTCCCCGTCATTTGTTGCTGCTGCTGCTGCTGCTGTTGCTGCTGCATTCTCTTGAGATTATCCGTGGAAATTAGCACCATTTTTTTAGCCCCTTTTATTTGATTATGTTCCGATAAGATGGGATAATAAAGTTCCTAGTACGGGTCTGATGATGTAGGGTAAGAATCCTCCTTGCTGCACTAGTAGCTTTCTCTTACACCTCCAAGTACCTCTTCTTTCCGCGATACGTCGTAGCGCTGTTTTGTATCGCGTTAGACGCTTCTTTTCTTTGTTTTTGAGCGGCACGTTACCTCTGAGCGTATTGTGAACGCATTTGCGAATACACGCGATGAATTTATTATCGGCGTTTTGTAGAAAAGCCGTACGTTAATTTTTCTTTAAAAGACACAGGGCCTTCAGAAGACAGATGTTTTTCTTACCGAGAGAGCGTCTAGCTCTAATATGTGCTGTCTGCCCTCTTTTGATTTGCTGCTTTTTCTTGTGCTGCTGCTGCTGCTGCTGCTCTTTCGTCACCGACGGCATCGTAGCTCCGAATGATGCTTTTCACTCGCGTGCTTCGCGCTTTTATACGCTTGTTTTCAACGTCACGGAAGATCTGCGGGGCACGTACACGTAATGACGAAGATCGTTGGGAAAGATACACGTTCGAAAACGATATTTGTCCGGTGTCGATTGTTTCAAATCGAGTAGTAAATAGCCGTGAAGACGCGAGGTAGCGTCGTAGTAGGCTTCTTCCAAGAACTTTGCGTCGTCGGGATAGACTTGACGCGCGAGATGTCGAATTTGCGCGCGATCGCGCGGATTCTTGAAAACTACAACGTAATTCGCATTCAGCGAAATATCGCGTTGACCGCGTCCCTGACGAAACAGATTCTGCGAAATGAGTATAACACTGAGATTCTTGTGATGACTTCCCTTGGTAAACAGATCCACGATCACATCGCACGACGACGATTCTCGCATGAGATCGTCGATTATTATTAATTTCGCGCAGAACGGGTCGTTCGAGTAATCTTCCGAGCGGGGTAATCCTTCGCGAAATTCGATTTTACATTTTGTCGTCGTCATCGAGTTGCGTTGCAACTCGAGATATGCTTCCTGCCACTCGCCGTAATAAAATAAAGTTCTCCCGAATCGACAATTCGCCATTTGTGGCAAATAATGAAGAAAAGTCTTTACAAAAATTGTTTTCCCGCATTCCGTCGGACCGCAAACGATCGACGTCCAGGAATGTTTCCAGCGCACGTCCATTTCGAAGACTGAACGATTTGGCTCGCGTATTCGTAATTTAAAATCTTTTTTCTTTGCCTCCATGATGAGCTCACCATCGCGCGGGGGGGCACGGCGGCCGCGGTTCAGCAGCGTCTTTGTGCCGCGATTGATGAGCTAATTTTCATCGCGGCAACGAATGCGAGCTTATTCCGCGCGATTTTAAAAACTGGTTTCATGAGAAATCAGCTTATTGTCGTGCGCGCGCGCGCAAAGATAAGCTCGTCAAACGCGCGCGCGCGCGTCTGCTAATATAAGTTTATAGCGGCGTTCTGTTATTGAGTTTAGATATCTATCAGTTTTCTAAGAATAAGAGAAAAATGAGAAGAATAGGGAGAAGAAAATCAATTTTTCATATACTTTTTAAAAATAAAAATTTAATAACATTAAACTATTTTATTTTACAACATGTTTACAAAGTATATTGCTTATTTTAAGCTACTACTAGTAAAAGTACTAGTAAAATTTACAGAAAATTTTACATTTAATAAACAAATTAATTTTTTATATGCGATATATTTTTAAAAAAATATAACTTACATTTTATTTTTTTCTTTGATCATATGTACAAAGCGCTTACATTCTTTCTTATTTGTTACGGACGGAAAACATATCTACATATATACACGATTTCGACTATTGCTAATACGCTTAACATATACAAACTATTTACAAGAATGGACGAGAAACATATATACACGTTTCTGACTATTAACTAATACGATTAACATATACAAACTAAACTGTTTTGTCACATCCGTGGACTTAGATGTTTAAGTACTTATTGTATCGAGTTTTCTTTTCTTTTTCTTTTTCAGTTTTACTTTGTTACAGTAGTCGGTAAGTTACCAGCCTTGAACATTTACCATTGTCGGTAATATACCATGGTCGGTAATGTACCATGGTCGGTAATTTACCATGGTCGGTAACGTACCATGGTCGGTAATGTATCATGGTTGGTAATATACCGTTATTGCAGCGATATGTTGTTGTTAAAAGAGTTGTAATAGCGCATTAATTAAGGAATTAATACCGTATATACGATTATTATTATTATATGGTACCACTGTTCGCGCATACACATTGTTATAGCAGACGTATAGCGATGTAAGTATTTTATCTAGATAGTTATAATATTCTACTAATAATTCTTTTTATATTAATATTTTTAGTAATAATTCCGCAGTAGTTTCTTTTAATTTTCTCAATATTCTTGAATGTTCTTTTCTCACGACNAAACTTGCGCGTAAAGACCACGGGCGCTGGCCTGAGCGAGCGAACAGAGATAAGGCACGCGCGGAGATAAGGCACGCGCGGAGATAAGGCACGCCTCGCGACCGCGGGAACCAAGCGAGCGCAAGACCGTTGACCGCGTGGGACCGTTGAACGACGGACC